TTCATATCGTACTCTGAGCTCACGGATGCTCCTTTCCACCGCCGGGAGCTGGATTGGGCTCGGGGCAGGCAGCACAGCTCCTAGTCCCAAACCCGGCCCAGGGAACGCACCAGCACAGCCCAGCCAGCCCCTCTCCATCCACCAGCACGCAGCTCACTGCAACCACCTCTGCTGCAAAAAATCACCCCCCAAACCTCCCCGAGCCCCTCAGGCACTGAAGCTGAGCGGGCTCAGTCCCCGAGCCCCAGTGACCCGTCAGTGCGGGATTTAGCTGTCAGAGCAGATCTCGGCTCTCCAGTTGCCCCCCGGGACCTCGCTGAGCTTTCACCCTCCCGAACGCACGGTGGCCCTGGGGCTTCAAAAAAAACCCCCACTGACGCTCCCCCTGCTCTCTCCCGAAGGTGTGCGGGGCGTTTCTCTCCTCCGACTGGAGCGAAAGGAAAAAGAGCGGGGCGACGGCAGGCTTCTTTGGGACAGGGGAGTGCTTTGTGTTCACTGTAAGTCACATTTTAGTTCTGGCTCTATGCTTATGGGTTTGTCTGTTCATTCTTTTTCCTTTACCCCTCTGACAACTCAGGGCATGGTGGCACCAAGCTGCTTCCTGGCCACAGTCCCATTGCTGCCCCTGGGCTCTGGCAGGAGGCAGCAGCACAGAAATTGCTGTGTTGGGTCAGAGCAAATGGAGAATGAGCTCCTGCCCTGGGTGAGCTGGCTCACCCCGAGCCCCCAAAGCCACACACAACAACCGCGGTGGGTTTGGAGCATCCTCTCCGGGGTGACAGCAGGGCAGCATGTCAGGCAGGGTGGGTTTCTGCCCTGTTTGATCGGGGCAGCTCCTGGATGGAGCGTTCCCAAACCGCATTGGGGTCCCTGCCAAGGGAGCAGTCTGAGTTGGTCCAAGAGAATCTGGCAGCATCCATCCAGTATCCCACTGGCATCCATCCAGTATCCCACCGACATCCATCATATATCCCACCAACATCCATCCAGTATCCCACTGGCATCCATCCAGTATCCCACCGACATCCATCATACATCCCACCAGTGTCCATTCAGTATCCCACCAGCATCCATCCAGCATCCGACCAACATCCATCCAGTATCCCACCAGCATCCATTCAGTATCCCACTGACATCCATCCAGCATCCCACCTACATCCATCCAGTATCCCACTGGCATCCATCCAGTATCCAACCAGCATCCAACCAGTATCCCACCAGCATCCATCCAGCACCCACCCAGAAACAGGGGCAGTGCAGGTTTGCCCATCTCGGGCAGTGACTGGTGAAGACAAAACCGATTTCTCAGCCAGAGCCACCCCAGAGCAGCCCTGGCACTGCCAGGACAGCTTGTCCCTCCCCTGCCCCAGGTCTGGACCCAGCAGGCAGCATGTGGCCCCTGACCTGCCCAGCCAGGCAGCACCACCTTCCCCCAGCCACGGAGAGATGCCCAAGGACAGGGCTCAGCACGTTTCTCCTGCTCTCCAGGTGCGCCCCGAGACAGAGAGGTACGAGTGGGTGTTCATCAAGAAGCCGGAGCTGGCCAAAGCCGTGCCGCGCTCCCGCCAGCGCTCGCCTTCGCCCTCTCCCGCATCCCTCCTCGGCTCCTCCCCGGACGGCCGAGCTCAAACCGTCTTGCCGTGCCCATGCCGCAGTGGAAAGGCCGTCTCTCCCCGTTCCTGGCCATCAGGCATTTCCTCCTGCCTTCCAAAACAGCATCCATGTTCATGGCCGGCTCCCGGGAAGGGATCATCATCGGTAATTCCCACAGGGCGGGTGCCCACCCACCGACACCCCGTGGCTTGGGCTGGAAAGGGCTCTGCTCCAAGATAAATCCGAGCTGCCTGCAGAGGCAAAGACCCCCTGCTTTAGGACATCAAGTTAAAGTTGGGGAGATGAAGTCAGCCCCCTCTTCCTCCAACTAGCAGGAGTGCAACGCTGCCCACGGGCGAGGATGCTCCTCCGGAGAGCCCCAGGCGAGGGGGAGCACCACAGCCCAAACCTCCGTCCAGGCTGGCACCCTGGGGGCTGGCGAGTCCTTCCCCAGCCCTTCCCTTCGCTTTGTGCGGGATGGAGAGGGGACACGGGCGGGGATCA